CTCTCTCTCTCTCTCTCTCTCTCTCTCTCTCTCTCTCTCTCTCTCTCTCTCTCTTATTCTCTCTTTCTCATACACATAACATACGCATATGCACATGCACACACATACTCTCCATTCTCTGGCACGCATTCATGTCATCATCGGCACTTGTACATAACTCGACATCTCTTAGTTAAAGCAGTGTAATTAAAGAATACGAACAGGCGAACATCTGATAAATCGGAGTGAACACCCCCGTAATAAGGCTTAATTTAATTTGTTAGTAACTTGTGTGATCTTGCTCTGTACGCGTCTGCTGCACAAGCCTGTTTTCACACAGATGCGCACTATGAATGGCCCACTCAAGCTCGCTGCTGTCCATTTTGCAGTGTTTATTCCACATTTATGACGACACATTTTTCTCTCTCTCATTCAAAAGCCGTGTTCCGTTGTCTTTACAGATTTCCATTACTGCTTTCTACACACATGACGACTCGTTCTCCAACTTGTATCGTTCTAATTTATTTATTTGCTGTTTCATTTCCTCTGTCTGACATCGGATTCCTTGTTAGGTGTCGGTTTGCTATAAATTTAATGAAAACAGAATATCAGGCGAAGTAGTAACTATGAGAATATATAAAGAATAAATATATATAAAGCATAAGAATATATAAAGCGTTCGTCATTAATATAAAATAATGTCACACTTTATAAATAATATAAATAAGATTTATTATAAAAAAAGTAAAATTGAAAAATAGAATTGAAATAATCCTCATCTATGTTTTTCTTTTGTAAACGATCGAGATAAATAATTTAGTCAAGCTGGAGCCGATTTGGAGAATATGTTTTTTTCTGAAATTTATCCAAGACTTAAAATGGATGCTGTTGGTGATCTGTGGTATTGGAGGTAAACGGATGGGAAGGGCTTAAAGGAACATACCACTCCGAGAATTCATCATTAGGACTAGGTTCAACTGCTTAATGAATTTCTGTCAAACAGAAATACAAAATCGTAATTCTATATTTCAGAAAATAATAGGATCATAAGGAAAATCATAAGAAAAAAAGATCAAATTCTAAAACACACTTACGTATCAGGACTTTGATCGGTATCGGATTCTTCAAGTTCGGCTTTATTCCGCTTCTTTTCGTACACTAGGATAATGGCGCATAGAACAACAACCTCTGCGCAAATACCTAAGAAGGGCCAGAGTGCAGCAAGCTTGTCCTTCACCCTGAGGAATGTCTTAGCCTCCGATGAATGTTCCAAAACGGGATCAGACCAGTTGTATGACATTCTGCAGATAATATTACCGCGATCGTTCATCTCGATGTTATCGACAATCAGAACGGCGCCATAAATACCCCTCTCTGGGTCTTTGGTAATCTTCACGCGACCCTTGCTGCGCGTATAATTTTGTTCCCCGAAGGTCCAGTATATCTTTACGCCGGGGGTCTGCCGGAGACTGCTGCACACCAAGTGTAGCTTTTCACCCTCCACCACACTGGTAGATTCAGCCAAATGCGCTATTGGCCTTGCTGAAATTTTAGAATATCCAATGTGAATCAAAACTTCTTCTGGTAAAATATCTTTAAAAAAAAAACTTGTTTTCTCTTTTCTTAAAGTAGATACCTTGACAGTGATGACTAAATTCATATAATGTTTCCAGCGTAAGTCGCTTGTTTCTAACAATATTTTTATAAATCTAGAAACATTGTAGCAGAATACTCACGTACGACTCTGTATTCGATTGTGGAGTTAGCCGCTTTACAAGTATAATTTCCATGAGCTTCCTCCTTATCCTTTAAAATTTCCAGGCTGCCAGTCTCATTATCAATCTTGATGATATCTTCATTGCCAGCAAACGCCGTACTTAACGGTGTCTTGTCCTTCAGCCATTGCACTTTATCGCCGGCGCTTCTGTTTGCACATTCGAGTACCAAAGGTATGTCTCTGGCCATAAGTACTCTAATCTTAATATCTGTGCCAAACAAGAAAACGTTTTTCGGTATACCATTATTTATAACCATGCAATTATGATGTCAAAGAAAGAAAATAACGTATAATGTGTAAACGTGCTGTGCAAAGATTTAAAAAATTAAAATTCTATCTTTATATATTTTTTGCGTATGACATAATAAAAGAATTAATTTATAATTTTTCTATAAATTATTCAGACATTATAATGCATAAGTAACGTCGGCAACTACCACTGCCTTTTTAGAACGTGTGCGCATCGTCTTAAATATTTTATAATAATAGGTGGACACAGCAACTGAAAAGACGCGAACAATTCATTCGATTTTAAAATAAATTCATCTCTACGTGAATTGTTCGAAATCATGCGTTATTATTTTTGCGTTATTATTATTTTTGTTATTATTTGTCATTAACTT